TTCAGCAGCGCCTATTAATATAAATTATTCAACTTCATTGTTTTTTTAATTTAATCCAAGTTTCAATTCATAAAATCACTTAACATGTTTTATTGTATTACAAAAATGGTTTAACCTCGATTATGACCGCAATGAAGGTATCATTAGGTTTGTGGTCGACAGGGAGGCTGTAAAATGTTATAAGGATTGGAAAAGTGACCTCCATGACTATTTTAAAGATCTTAGTGGGCCGGAAAATGATAGTGTTTTTTTTTCCCCCCCCCCCCCCCCCCCCCCAAAAAAAAACCTCAAGAATCCAGTAAAAAGCCTCAAGAATCTAGATCACTGGGGTCGTTGTTGCGATAGATTCATGTTCGACAAGTTTCAGGTAACTGTAAATCTTTTATATGTTGTTGTTTTATTATATATAAAAAATATTAATTTTACTAACTTTGAATTTAATCATAAATAGAAAAAGTCAGGTATCAATAAACTTAATCGTAGCAACCAAAAGTGGTCGAGCTTTCATGGTCGGCTATCGTACTCCCAATATCGCGAGAAAAAAGTTAGTATTTGTTAATAATTTATTCAATATAAATGTTGATTTCATAATTGATTACAATATATTCATATACATTTACATTATTATACAATCAAACATAGGGACCCAACAGCCGATGTCTGCCATCGATAACTAGGGGAACATGCATCGTCATAGGGATACTTGGGTTAATCCCCAAGCTAAGCAGACTTTTATAAGTAAACTCGTAATGCTTAATTATATTTTTTTATTTAAATTAGATTATGTATTTAATTCTTTTTCTTATAATATTTGTAGCATCGGATAAAGGGAGAAAGGAAAACGAAGATCCAGACGCAGTCTGCTACTTCTGGATCATCCGCAACAAAAGCGATTAATGAGGATGGTATTATGGAGCAGGTTCTCAGAACTCGCAGAGGACACAAGACTGGAGTGGGTCGCACACTCTCACAAAGGGTTTATCGAGGGGATGCGTCATCATCTGACTCACACTCGACATGATCGTCTACGCCACGTTTGGACCCACACATAGAAGAATACTTGCAACAGAGTTACTGGCAAAACCTCCAGATGTACGGGAGCTTTAGAATGATGCAGGACTTGATGACTCAAATGCACCCCAACATTCAGTTCCCATCGGTTACTCCTCTCGTGCCATATGTCTGTCCAAGTCCTCATCCGAATCCTTTCGATGATAATGACAATGATTCCAGTGACGCTACTAACTTAGGAGAGTAGATTTTTATTAATGTAATAATTTATACTTTCTTACATTTTATAATTACATTTTTATTTTATTTTATTAATACTCACACAATTTAATTTTATTTATATTTTTCTATTAATTATATTTCTTTTAATTAAGTCTTTTTTAGTTTTATAATATCATGAATTATGTTTAATATTGGGTTTAAATATATAGTAATATACAACATTAATCATTAAAATGAGAAAAAATAAATAAAAAATTAAAATACTATTTGCGACGACAACTGTGGTCGCAAAAAATTTAATGCCACGTCGGCTAATTCTCCATTATTTGCGATGACATAATTTGTGAATTATCGTCGCAAATAATAATTGCCATGTCATCTTGACGATGCAATCGATGAAATAATTGCAGCAACTCATTTGCGACGACGACATGTCGTCCAAAAAATAATTTTGCGGCAAATCAATTGCAGCGATATGTTTGCAACAATGAGTCGTCGTAAAAATATATATTTGCGACGACTTTTAGTCATCGTTAATAACCATGTTTCTTATAGTGCCTATCGATAGGACGGCCTACTCCATTCTTTTATTTATAACATACATTTTTGGCCTTCTAATAAAACAGAAATGGTTTGCCCTACGTTTCCACTCCACCACAATAATGGAAACACGTATCCCTCTAAGACATGATTTGTAACTTGCTATCCTTTTATCTAGTAGGCAAAGATTTACCTATGTGGAAAGGGTGATGCATTCGGACCAACATGAGAGTCCAACTACATTGTATTACGAGAAATCATGTTATATATGTGAAAAAGGCTCCCTTGCTTCTCTCATGTTACATTCCTCTTCTCGTGGAGCCGCCTTTCTCCTCAGTCCACAAAGACAATTGGTGCTAATAGTTTATCATGGAAGAAAGGATTCACTTTGTTGAGATGATTAACTGATAGAGTAAAAAATACTAATATAATAGAAAAAGCTGTCTTTTCTTAATACTTATCTGGTTTCGTTGCTATCGAAATTGTCACATGGACTCGTTAGTGAGTCTATGTCGCTATATTCTATCAAATCTTATACATAGCGTTAAAGAGGAAGAAAAAGGCATCTTAACCATTGCATTGCATCATCGCATACATGGTTTTTTATTTTTATTTTTATTTTTTTATGGAGGGAGAAGGTAGGATTGAGCATATTTTGGTAAAGAACACTAAAAGACAAGCTTACGTGCTACCTTCCTTAATCAGAATTTTTTTTTTTGAAATTTTTTTTTAATATTTTCTCTTTTTTAAGAATATTATTATTTTTTATTTATTAATCGTTAAATTTATATTAAATTTAATTAAAAATTAAATTAAATTAAAAAATAATATAAATTTAACGATTTATAAGTAGATAATATTAATATTCACAAAAGAAAAAAAACATAAAAGAAATTCCCTCTTTTCTACCCTTAATGTTTGTGGGGGCACATAGCTGTAGGGATGCGTAATTGGCCAACTAGTTGCCAGGGGCCTGCACAGACTGGTGCTCTTCAGCACACAGAATACTACTTTTCCAGAAAGGCAGATGAAGAGTCAGACACAGTAACTATATTATATTATATTATATTATACCATATATTACATTATTTGTATTATATATGAGAATTGAAACGAAAAAAAAAAAAGCTCTACTCTTACCCACTGTTGCAAGGCATTTATTTTCTTTCTTTCTTTCTTTTTATTTTCATTACTTTCCAGGCCAAGAAGATGAGACAATCGCTGTTATGATTCTCTTGCTGTCGCTGCATATGTATCAATCAATATATAATTCAATACTTGAATCTTTCAGCAGCTGCCAACATAACATCTTCCACGTATTAGACCCTTCAATGCCTCTGCCTCTGTCTCTGACTCGGACAAACTACACTCATTGTCATTGATTAGACATTTGAGTTTTCTCGTCTCAGCCAGCTTTTTCATGCTCAGATTTGTGTTGATACTTTTTTGGGAAAGATACGTGATGATTTAATTTCTTAATTTAAATTTTTAATTTTATTTAAGATGTGATTATATATAAAAATTTTATACTTTATTAAAAAAATTAAATATCACTATTTTTAAAATTTTTTTATTATAATAAAATTTAAATCAGTAAATAAACAGAATCTAGAATTTTATCTCTTTTTTTTTGAAATTTTTTGCGGTAATAACTCTTTGGAATTGTTATTTTAACCATTATATTAGTTTATTCACAATTTTATTTATGATTGTTTACATTGAAAATTTGCAATATGAGACACAAAACTATCGGTTGTATGACAAAAATAATTTTATATACTGATAGTAAAAATGACAATTCCTAAAGTAGAAATTCTTTTTTTTTTAAAGTAAATTCTTATCAGAGAGTATGAAAAATATTCTACGGGTAGGGTTCTGTTTCAAATGTATAGATTCTATTGATTTCCATTAAATTAAACGTCCAAAACATACTAATATATACCTCTAATATTTTTTTTTCCAAATAATAACATTTGGGTTATCTTTTCTAGTTGCTTCTAAGTTGAAACAGAAGCTCAATGTAAACATTATTTTTTTTTGGGTTTTACCCTTTTGATTTCAAATCCAATTGCACTCTCCGAGTAGTACATTGGGTGGAAAAGTACCACTTTCCACTTCCAGGCTGCAGTGCGCGTTTAATTCACGAGATATCATTAATGCTGTTGAGAAATAAAGAAAGAAGGAAAGAAGAGATAATAATGTTTCCTCTTGAATATATATACTTTGATAAAAAGCTCCATCCAAAGTTTCAGTGCTTCAACTTCCGAACCGTTAGTTCCTAACAATTTGTGGTTATATAATAAAACCGTAGAACTATAGGTAAGATTAGAAACAATATATTATCCGTAATTTTTTACTTTTGTAAGTCGGTTTAAAAAAAATGTCTTATAATTCATATTCATTTTTGGATTATACATGTAGTTCAAAAAATTCAATCATGATTAAAGCGTTACTCATAAATTTTCTACCCTCTTGTGTTAATTCATTTAGAAAAAGAAATGTGCCAAGTTTTTGTATTTTGAAAGAAAAAAACAAGCCAAGTTTGAGAGGACCTGCTCTGGTTATCTTAATCAATGATGGTTTTTCTAGCATTATAATAATGATAAGGATAATAAAGTTTAAAAGCCGACTAAGATCCAATCTCAGCTCCCGAAGTACTGTATCATTCTCAAAGTATGAATAAGTTACTTTCTAAACTAACTTTTTTTTTTTCCTTGCTGTAAAGTCTTTTAAACTTTGTTACAGACAACAAATGAGCACGTTCCATATTAAAAAAAAAAAAAAAAAAAAAAAAAAAAAAAAACCAAAGCAGCA